GATGAGCTCAGGATAGGAAAGAGTGGAGGTGCGTATCTAACCAGTCTCAGGACTGACGACCTTATGATGATGATGAGTATCATGTGTTGAAAAGCAGGACATGGTATAGAGAAATTCCTACAAACACTTTCACGTAAAGTNTCATTCTTCTTTGGGTCGAAGAATTGATCATAATTACTTAACTTCGTATCCGATGTTTGTATCTTATTTGCTTCATAAATATCAAGCAGCTGTCAGGACAACGCCATCTGTATTCTATTCGTCATACTAAATCTTAGATAGGTACCTAATTGTCTACTTATCACCATAAGGAGTTTTGATTGACACCAGATATTTAGTTCAAATTAAGTGGTAGTATACTGTACTCAACTTAATGTTTGAGCGCCCCTAGATCCAATTGTAGGTACGCCAATGATTTTAATGGAAATTTAAACCGTTGCTATCTTCAATGTTAACAACGAAGTGTATAAGAGATTCTAATTGTAAGGTAAAAACCCCCTTTTGATCATATAGAACCTCATTTAAGATCTACTTTTATTGGAGCATCAGCAACCATCTCAACGCGACGTACGACGCGACTCCGTTTTGTCCCCCTTTTTGCTCATTCGATGCATTAGCGCTCGGCTTTCAAACAGGGTCGAAAACCAGTGTCTTAAAAATCTTCCCCATCTGTTACTGATTAGCAAGTATGCTAGTTTATTTCAATAATCCCTAATCTAGAAGCCTCCTTGGAGTAATTTCTGATCTTTTACGGCCTACGTTTCGAAATTATTACATCCGCTAAAAGCAGCAGTAATCCGCCCTGTTCTTTTTCTTTGCTAATTTAATTCCCCCCGCAACTTTTTTGTTTATTTTTACAATAAGGACAGCCATGAAAAGTCAAGGACGAAATTTATGGCATTCCTTTTTTAAACCAACAAACTTTTCATTGTAATTTAATATTCACAAACTATCTAAATTAATTAGTACCTAGGTAAATAACCACTAAACAACTACATGCATTATAGCCTTGATAAAGCCTACAAGCAATAGGCGAATCGTCGGATTTGGTTTTTTAAAAAAACTAATTAACTATTTATCCCTTACCGTTGACTGAATTAACATCTAAGGACAAAATTAAGGGAAGAAATGGATATCATAAAATGTTTACTTATTTGTTGTACACTCCGTTTAACGAACCGCTACTAATTTTTATACCCCTTTGTCTTGTATTCTCCGCAACGTTCTAGCACGATTTGATTTATTACTGTCTGGTATTTGATGATCGCATTATACTTATAATCGCTCTAAAAATCTGCACATAAACTCTTCAAAAACCTATGACAATCCTACTCCACAATCTCAATACAGATTTTGCTTGCAGCAATATATTCAATGTTATCGTCTGTAAATAATAATAAATGTCATTAGTATACTTGTTAACTCGACAAATTATGAGGCACATTGTCTAGCATTTAAAATTAATTACTGTCGAATGAACCCCTGCCTGACCGCTAATATTCTATCCCCATCTAGAAACAAGTTATTGTTACATTACGTATTATACGAGGGGTACATGTTGCAACCCTAACTTCCCCTTTGGTTCAGTTTTCGTACTGTATAAAGCAGTGAAAATAGGATAAATTCACTAAATTGTGTTTGTTTTTCCATATTTAATAAAATCACTACTTAAATAATAAGTACAAAACAATTCAGGAGATTTTCGTGTGAAGAAGTTATGTATAGCGAAACAGTAGTATAGTTGGAACGATCAAAAGTCCCCAATAAATTATCTGTGAAAATGGACGTATCTTCTATCTTATTTCTAGTTGAGACTGTAGCATGTAGCATTTACTGCGTTTTGAACACGCCCTTGTTAAGTTAGGAAATTCTTCATGAGGAATACAGAAAAAGTGAAAAGAGATAACCGAATAATACTAAGCGGTGTAGAGGTTAGAGGTTGCTTAAGTACGTAAAAGAACAGGGTCGGCTTTATAAATGTCCAATTGGGATTATATCTTTAAACAAGACTTTGATTTTCTAAATTTTTGAAAATGTTGAATTTCCTTGCTCCAACATGCTCAAATTCTGCTTGTCTACATCTCTTTCTGTTACACATCAATTTGTGCACTATTATTTCTATGCCGTCCGCTGCAATTCTTATCTGACATCTCTCTTCTGTGTTTACGATATTTTCAGCAATCGCTCTAGTCTAGTTAGTAGTTCCAACTACAGCATCGGTTTACAAGTATGTTATTAATGAAACTCTTTTCTCTAGAACAATATTTGTGATGAGAGTTCAAAATTCCTAAAGTTGTTAATCTGAATATTCATGATTCTAAAATCTGCCGCCCCCAGATACGGCCGATTGGCAGGTAATAAGGACAAGAAATGTTTGAACATAAATTTTATTATGTCGACGATTTGTTTCGATCATTAGTGACTCATTATTAATTACTTAAATCAATAAGTGCCACTAAAGAGTGTATGATCTAAATGACCAATTTTGATATTGCACAATTTGACAACTAATTGTAAATAAAATAGTTTTTAATCGTTTTTTTAGAAACCTTAACATATGCAACAATATGGAACAATCCCTTCCAAATTAATTCATCCGTATCAATATACGCGTGCAACATATGGCATTAAAGTAAGTGTCCAGATTTCTATCGCACCCCATATGGACATGCCATACACCTGTGAACATTTGAGTGCATGCTCCACTAGGGGTGTTAACAGGTCTTCATTTTGTACCCTTAAATTTCTATTAATTTTTTTATATTTCCATTAGATGTACTTTAATTCTTCAAAAGCGCTAGTATTATTATTATTGGTGTATTTGTGATAATCCATCTGAAGAAGTCAGAAATGCAATGGTAAAAATTTGAAATGGAATGGAAATTAAATTGGTGTTATGGAGTGCTAAATGTAAATAGAATATAAAAGTATAAAATAATAGGAAGTGGTCTGTATTCTGTCGAAACTGCTAGACGCGGATTGCGATTTCATTTTTTTGTATCTCATCAGCGCGTCGCAGGCAGCTCTGACAGAACACAGACCAACCTTTACCTGCTGTCTTAACAGCGCGTTTTAGAAAATACCACAAATGGCGCAGTAAACGCCATCTGTAGTACGATGCTACATTTTAGGATTACGTACGCTTCAACAAGGTCCATTTAAATATATGGATATCTACTTGCTGAAACGAATCCCGGCGTAGCTCACCTCAACGTGATAGGCACGTTACCATAATCGAATAAAATAATTCGAAGTGGTCTGTTTCCACATTTTAATATTCATCAGGCTTACTAAATCCTGATTTTTCTGTGTCATCTTCTGGTATAGACACCGTCCAAATAACATCCAGAATTCTTGTTCAATTTTGAAAATATGTATTTTGTGATTTGAAAACAACATTTGACTAATCGGTAGGGTTTGCAGTACATTTTGTCTAGGGTTGCCACCCGTACTTTATTATAAAGTATTGTACTCTATTTCGACTGTGCGTATGTTATACTTTACAAGACACATAAAGTACGCAAAAATACTTTATTTAAGGNACTAATAAGTTTTCAGATTTGAAATATAAATGTTTTGCTGTTAAATATCGATTGAAAATATGCACTAGTAGTAAAGTTAGAAGCGTTTGAAATGTAGAGTTACAGGCGAATGATGAGGATACCGTGGATAGAGAAGCTTAGAAATGAAGAGATGTATAGGTAGGAGAATGGAGGACTCTACGGAAGTCATAAGAAATAGACGAGATAGGTTGATAGGACCTTCTCAGGCATGAGAAGCTAATCAGGGACATATTAGAAGCAGATAAAGGAGTTAAAAGGAGTAGAGGTAGACCTAGATTAGATTACTATTCACAAGTAGTTACGGATGTGGAATCTTCTAGTTTTAGGAAAGTGCTAAGATGAGCTCAGGATAGGAAAGAGTGGAGGTGCGTATCTAACCAGTCTCAGGACTGACGACCTTATGATGATGATGAGTATCATGTGTTGAAAAGCAGGACATGGTATAGAGAAATTCCTACAAACACATTCACGTAAAGTAGTATAACTTCAGTTGAAAGAGCAACATCTCTGCACTCTTTTAGAAGCGAGACACGGTAAACAAATTACAAAACTTTAATGCACGGTACCGTTTCCGTTAAATTAGAAAAAATTTAGTTGTTTTATAGAAAAAATAATTGAAATTCTTGAAGTTGAAATCTATGTAAATGTGACAATAAGTTCATCAAAGAACTGCATCTTCTTCCAGGCTCCATGGTATTATAACCATTGCCTGGAACTACATTCTAACTTTAACATTTTGACGGGGATACGTCAAAATGTTAATGTTAGTGTGTTACGGTTTTCGTAAATGACATCTGAGAATCACCATGCACCATGGTTAGCGGTACCCATTGTCCAAATTTGGAGCGATTCAACTGATGAAGAAAAATGCACTTCTTCAAAATTTACATAGAAAAACTTATTGCTGTTAATACCGATTTGTTTGCATACGACATGGATTCACTTGTCATCCAATATAGTCGGGGGTCTTTACAATAAATGAAAGTTACTTCTTTATCGAAAGACGACCTTTTGTCTATTTCGCTTTCGTCATTTCTAGCGACAATGTCCACAGAGTTGTAACAATTCAAAAATCCATACCATCAAAACTCGCTACTAATTCGTCCAAGTCGAATGCGGCACCATGGAGAACAGAAAGGGCGGTCGTCGCGACGCCTAGCGTCTGCGCGTACGACGCTCCGTCAAGTAAGCCACCAACTCCAATGGTAGACGTCAGTCTACCCTCTAGCGCTTCTGGGGTGTCGAACGGCAGAAAACAGGGTAGTGCATCAACTGATAAAATTTATAAAGCACTCTTAATCAATTATAGATAAGCCAACAGCGTTAATAAATTATTTGGGAAGAAACGCGTAAGCGGTCAACGAATCGTACCATTTACCTATAAATAAATAATGATAATTTACGCGAATTGCACAAGTGAAAAATGATGCGTTTTGTTACAATAACAACTAGTTTTTCATTTTGAAAATATCTCGAAACCGTAACCTAACCTAACCTAACAATTTATGCGATTACCGCGACGAAACTTTGGCTGTACCCTCTGCTTCTGCTGTGTCACTTCTGTACCCACGAGGATGAAGTTTTCGGAAATGCAAATGGTAACTCTGCCAAGTAGATCAAAGCCTGCTGCTTCTTTTAATTAATAACTACATAGACGATGATGATGACGTATATGCCGAACAGATAATAGTTTCACACATAAAAATGGTAAACCCATGGTTTATTTATCTCAATTGGCAAGAACAGAATTCACATTGATTGTTGACTTATATGGAGACCAAGATTTTTGCTTTTGAACGAACTTAAAGTGACAATATATTATTTGGATCGAAAGTGTTTTGTATAGATTTTGTCTCGGAAAATGCCTACTGTGACTTAAAACAAAATTCCATGATGTACTCCCCCGACAAAATGATGGGTGCCAAGGGGCCTACAGGTCTACATGCGCCCATAACGTCAAGTGCGGCCTGCTTTCCCGGCAGATATTCGCCGACATATCGAAGCCCGGAGCCAATGCCCAGAAGGTGTATGCCAAATCCGTCGGTAAGTTTCTAACAAATGACTATTATTGAGTGTTAGGTAGGAAAATTGTTTCGCTATTAATCAGAATACTAGACATCACACAGTTGGTGGAAAATAAAATACAATTAAAAAAGAATTAAAAATATGATGGATTAAAACCATATATAGCATTAGAATAAGAGTTAAGGAAATTGAATTTCATTGGGACCTTTCGCCTTCTGAATAATTATTCCAAATTTTGTAATAAGAAGGTTGAAACAGCTGAAATGTTTTGCCAAAACAATATACTCTTATAGACCCTTGCAAAAGAGATCTTTCCCATGTAACCCATAAAGAAAAGTGAATTTTGACAATTATCGTAGGTTGACCGCTATTAAGAGTGTACTCTAAACAATAAATTGTCGAAGTAATAAATTTTAGTGAAAACAGCCATTTGAAAAACAGATATGTACTATTTTTGAAGACATAGGAGAACGAATGATTACTACCAGACGTTTCAGACGATATCGCATGTATTAAATGGAAGTACTAACTAAAAAAAAGTCATTTAATTGACACCTCCTAAAATATTCCTGTAAATAATTTCTGCTTATCAATAATAATTCGAAAATATGTGATCTATGCGTTTTATTACGATGACAAGGGTCAGATAATGTGTAACTATTTTTATTAAAAAAAGAAATGAAAATTACTGAGAGATTTCGAGTAGACCAATTTACAACGACATACAAAACGTATTCGGTATTTTTTGTACTGTCCCAAATTACCTAATGTACTTACAATAAGCTAGAACGTATGTTATCTTGCATACAAAGTTAGTTACCACATACGATCATACTAAATATTTGACTGCATTTAAAATGGTGTAACCTAACCTAACCCACCTATTTTCTACATTGTAAATGAGTTTAGTGTGTTGTTGACATTAGTTTATAGATTGGTTTATACGGTTTGTGATGTAAACTCAATCTCTCAATAATTTAAAAACAATTCCAGTTTTATACTTCAGACATACATGAACCCTAAGAGTTCCGCTGTCCATATAACACTGAATACGATGTCATTCTTCTTTGGGTCGAAGAATTGATCATAATTACTTAACTTCGTATCCGATGTTTGTATCTTATTTGCTTCATAAATATCAAGCAGCTGTCAGGACAACGCCATCTGTATTCTATTCGTCATACTAAATCTTAGATAGGTACCTAATTGTCTACTTATCACCATAAGGAGTTTTGATTGACACCAGATATTTAGTTCAAATTAAGTGGTAGTATACTGTACTCAACTTAATGTTTGAGCGCCCCTAGATCCAATTGTAGGTACGCCAATGATTTCAATGGAAATTTAAACCGTTGCTATCTTCAATGTTAACAACGAAGTGTATAAGAGATTCTAATTGTAAGGTAAAAACCCCCTTTTGATCATATAGAACCTCATTTAAGATCTACATTTATTGGAGCATCAGCAACCATCTCAACGCGACGTACGACGCGACTCCGTTTTGTCCCCCTTTTTGCTCATTCGATGCATTAGCGCTCGGCTTTCAAACAGGGTCGAAAACCAGTGTCTTAAAAATCTTCCCCATCTGTTACTGATTAGCAAGTATGCTAGTTTATTTCAATAATCCCTAATCTAGAAGCCTCCTTGGAGTAATTTCTGATCTTTTACGGCCTACGTTTCGAAATTATTACATCCGCTAAAAGCAGCAGTAATCCGCCCTGTTCTTTTTCTTTGCTAATTTAATTCCCCCCGCAACTTTTTTGTTTATTTTTACAATAAGGACAGCCATGAAAAGTCAAGGACGAAATTTATGGCATTCCTTTTTTAAACCAACAAACTTTTCATTGTAATTTAATATTCACAAACTATCTAAATTAATTAGTACCTAGGTAAATAACCACTAAACAACTACATGCATTATAGCCTTGATAAAGCCTACAAGCAATAGGCGAATCGTCGGATTTGGTTTTTTAAAAAAACTAATTAACTATTTATCCCTTACCGTTGACTGAATTAACATCTAAGGACAAAATTAAGGGAAGAAATGGATATCATAAAATGTTTACTTATTTGTTGTACACTCCGTTTAACGAACCGCTACTAATTTTTATACCCCTTTGTCTTGTATTCTCCGCAACGTTCTAGCACGATTTGATTTATTACTGTCTGGTATTTGATGATCGCATTATACTTATAATCGCTCTAAAAATCTGCACATAAACTCTTCAAAAACCTATGACAATCCTACTCCACAATCTCAATACAGATTTTGCTTGCAGCAATATATTCAATGTTATCGTCTGTAAATAATAATAAATGTCATTAGTATACTTGTTAACTCGACAAATTATGAGGCACATTGTCTAGCATTTAAAATTAATTACTGTCGAATGAACCCCTGCCTGACCGCTAATATTCTATCCCCATCTAGAAACAAGTTATTGTTACATTACGTATTATACGAGGGGTACATGTTGCAACCCTAACTTCCCCTTTGGTTCAGTTTTCGTACTGTATAAAGCAGTGAAAATAGGATAAATTCACTAAATTGTGTTTGTTTTTCCATATTTAATAAAATCACTACTTAAATAATAAGTACAAAACAATTCAGGAGATTTTCGTGTGAAGAAGTTATGTATAGCGAAACAGTAGTATAGTTGGAACGATCAAAAGTCCCCAATAAATTATCTGTGAAAATGGACGTATCTTCTATCTTATTTCTAGTTGAGACTGTAGCATGTAGCATTTACTGCGTTTTGAACACGCCCTTGTTAAGTTAGGAAATTCTTCATGAGGAATACAGAAAAAGTGAAAAGAGATAACCGAATAATACTAAGCGGTGTAGAGGTTAGAGGTTGCTTAAGTACGTAAAAGAACAGGGTCGGCTTTATAAATGTCCAATTGGGATTATATCTTTAAACAAGACTTTGATTTTCTAAATTTTTGAAAATGTTGAATTTCCTTGCTCCAACATGCTCAAATTCTGCTTGTCTACATCTCTTTCTGTTACACATCAATTTGTGCACTATTATTTCTATGCCGTCCGCTGCAATTCTTATCTGACATCTCTCTTCTGTGTTTACGATATTTTCAGCAATCGCTCTAGTCTAGTTAGTAGTTCCAACTACAGCATCGGTTTACAAGTATGTTATTAATGAAACTCTTTTCTCTAGAACAATATTTGTGATGAGAGTTCAAAATTCCTAAAGTTGTTAATCTGAATATTCATGATTCTAAAATCTGCCGCCCCCAGATACGGCCGATTGGCAGGTAATAAGGACAAGAAATATTTGAACATAAATTTTATTATGTCGACGATTTGTTTCGATCATTAGTGACTCATTATTAATTACTTAAATCAATAAGTGCCACTAAAGAGTGTATGATCTAAATGACCAATTTTGATATTGCACAATTTGACAACTAATTGTAAATAAAATAGTTTTTAATCGTTTTTTTAGAAACCTTAACATATGCAACAATATGGAACAATCCCTTCCAAATTAATTCATCCGTATCAATATACGCGTGCAACATATGGCATTAAAGTAAGTGTCCAGATTTCTATCGCACCCCATATGGACATGCCATACACCTGTGAACATTTGAGTGCATGCTCCACTAGGGGTGTTAACAGGTCTTCATTTTGTACCCTTAAATTTCTATTAATTTTTTTATATTTCCATTAGATGTACTTTAATTCTTCAAAAGCGCTAGTATTATTATTATTGGTGTATTTGTGATAATCCATCTGAAGAAGTCAGAAATGCAATGGTAAAAATTTGAAATGGAATGGAAATTAAATTGGTGTTATGGAGTGCTAAATGTAAATAGAATATAAAAGTATAAAATAATAGGAAGTGGTCTGTATTCTGTCGAAACTGCTAGACGCGGATTGCGATTTCATTTTTTTGTATCTCATCAGCGCGTCGCAGGCAGCTCTGACAGAACACAGACCAACCTTTACCTGCTGTCTTAACAGCGCGTTTTAGAAAATACCACAAATGGCGCAGTAAACGCCATCTGTAGTACGATGCTACATTTTAGGATTACGTACGCTTCAACAAGGTCCATTTAAATATATGGATATCTACTTGCTGAAACGAATCCCGGCGTAGCTCACCTCATCGTGGTAGGCACGTTACCATAATCAAATAAAATAATTCGAAGTGGTGTGTATTCTGTCGAAACTGCCAGACGCGGATCGCGATTTCGATCTTTTTGGATCGCATCAGCATCAGGATTCGTTTCAGCAAGTATCCATATAGCATCGTACTACAGATGGCGTTTACTGCGCCATTTGTGGTATTTTCGAGAATATAAGTGTCTTGTTTATAACAGAAAGGCGAAATCTATAATCCACCATGGTAGGTCTTCGTCTCTATCATAAAGTGAACCGTTAGGGTTTGACCATTCGACGTTTACTACATTGGCTAACCTAACCTAACATAACCCCACCCTCTTTGCCCCCCCCCCAACCATGCTACGCCACTGATATACGTGATAGCAATAAGTCTAGTTCTTTTCATTCGTACATTACAATTGTAAAATAGATCATTACATCGAATAATCACTCTTACAATTACAGTTGTCTAGGACGTTTCACAGCCAAAACCAATCAATTCTGTCTTTAATCTTAGAACGACATCTCAGTAACTTCGTCCTGCCGCGAAATGAGTGATGAACTTCAGCAGCTTAAGCTGCTACCAAGTGGTGCTTATTACTTTCGGTAATAATTTTGAGTGCTGTATTTTCGTCTTTCACTCCGTAATTGCCCGCCACGTCGGGGACTTCATCGGGGGGTGGTTGCGTAGTAGTACGCGCGATGATGACGAATAATACAAATATCAATCATGTTTGTTGTTGTTGTTGGCGCAGTAAACGCCGTTGCCGTCACTTCTAAATGACAATCGATACTGAACGAATTATCAAAACGTGTCATTAGACGAAGGGCCGCGAGGCTTCGCCATGATGGCATACGACAGAGAAAAATACTGATAAAATTAGTACAAGGTAAA